AGAAGCCAGAAAATCAGAGTTCTAGGTCTTTGTAAAACTCTGAGATTTAACCTTTCCTTACAGATATTACTGAGAGTCTTGATTTGACAAAATATTTTAACCAGTAAATATCCAGGCCACATTCATCAGTTATTCATCTACTATTCTGTAGCCATCTCCAGTAGTTCCCTTAGGTATAGTGAAGAATAGGAGAGCACACAGCTGACTACAATACCTTGTGAACTTTGTGTACTGGGAGAGAGGGTGCCTTTATTCAGTGCAACCTGGATTTGAATCCAGGCAGTATACTCCTGAGCCCATAATAATGAACCGCCTGGGCTCTGGCAGCAGATTTTCATGGGTGTAAATCCTAACTCCATTACTTAAAGTGCTTAGTAATCTTGAGAGAGTTATTTAACCTCTGTAAGCATCCAAAATATCAAATAGGAATAATAATAGTGAAAGATAAACTAGATCCTGTCACTCCCCTGATCAAAACCGTCCAATAGCTTCCTATCTTAGAATCAACTCCATGCTCCTTATTCGGGCTGACCAGATCCCCCAAAATCTGGCTTGTGTTTGTTTGATTTATCTGTCTCTGCTATCTCCTCTGCTACTAACACAGAGACCTTGTCTATCTTATTCATTGCCGTATTCTTAGAACCTAGATAGTACCTGGCACAATAAGTGTTTAGTAACTACTTGCTTAATTTATTGAATGAGTAAGTACATACTATGACTTATAAGCACATAGTACAAGGCCTAAGAAATAATAAACTCACTGTCATTGTTTGCCGCCGCTGCTACCATTATTATCTGCTTTGTATATTGGAGTTCTGCATATGATTTCATTTGGAAAAAAAAGTTTGCTATCAAAAAGTTAGTATGCAGTTAGTATACTACAGTATGCAGACATCAAAACATCAAGTTGTACACCTTCAATATGTATTATTTTTATATATCAAAGATATTTCAGTAAGGCTGTTTAAAAACGAATATGCTACTAAGGAAAATACAAACCCGTTTGAAAACAATCTCAGTTCCAGATTTTTTGTAGTAAAATGAGGGTAGATCTTAAAATACACTGCTTAATTCTTACTGTTCGGTGTGTAGAAGATACTTTTTCTGCAAATGCAAAACAAGCAGGCCCAGAAGGGAAGGTTTATTCACTGGTCTTATTATCTTAGGCCAAATAACCTTATCAAAGAGGCGGGGATAACCATAATTGGATTGACTAAAATAAGGTTAACCTCACTCAATAAAAAAGCAAAAATAAAAGATGATGATTAATAAGAATGCTAAAATTCTATATTTTATTTCCGTTTCTACTCCAGGTGTTGTCACATCTGCAAACTTCCGGGCAGAGTGATGGGGATTCGAGCGCTTCGCTTCTCTTTGGTGGTCGTCCTTGTGTTACTACTGGTAGCTGGGGCTTTGACCACTTTACTTCCTAACGTTAAAGAAGACAAGATGCTCACGTTGCGTAGGGAAATAAAACCCCAGGGCAAGTCCACCCTGGATTCCTTTACTCTCATAATGCAGACATACAACAGAACAGATCTATTATTGAGACTTTTAAATCATTATCAGGCAGTACCACATCTGCACAAGGTGATTGTGGTGTGGAACAATGTTGGGGAGAAGGGACCAGAGGAGTTGTGGAGTTCTGTAGGGCCTCACCCTGTTCCTGTGATCTTCAAACTACAGACAACAAACAGGATGAGGAATCGGCTCCAGGTCTTCCCTGAGCTGGAGACTAAGGGTGAGTTGCAGCTCGGTTCTTAGTCTGGCAGGGCTGCGGCTAACCAGGGCTGGGGGTGGGTACAAGAATTTCTGGCCTCCTACTTGTCCTAATTGTCTGGAGACAATAAGGGAAATTTAATCCTAAGAAAGCACTTTAAAAACTTAAGGGGCAATTTCCAAGATGTCAGGAAATAGTTTCCAGGGCAGGAAAGCATATACATCTTACTACAATGACAAAGAACTTAATATTGTGAAAAAGATACGCTATAATTACATATTATTGCATCACAGAAGGTAGTGAAATGCCATTTAACTTATGCTTAATGTATTTCTTGCCACCTCTTTTTTTGTCTCATTCGTAGCAGTTTCACGAGGTTGTAATTTGTTTTAAAGAACCGAGGTTTTATTTATTTATAGGTTCATTAGTTTCTAGGATAATGGATGATAACTACATGATAATTTCCCCCTCAGGCAGTTATAAAATCAATTACAATTCAAATAAAAACTTTGTGCTAGACAAATCTCTCAAAGAATCCATCTCTTATTTACTTATTTTCTTAGACTATACCTCATTTGAATGATCTATATGGACACCATTGTATCTTACTAGTTTTGTTTTCATTTCCAAACTGTTCGATTTAAATTTTTTTCCTTCCTTTCAGCGGTGTTAATGGTAGACGATGACATGCTGATTAGTGCCCAAGACCTTCTTTTTGCTTTCTCAGTTTGGCAGGTAAGGTTGCTATACCCTTTATGAAATCATCAGTATGAAGTCCTATCTAGTGTTTAACCAGGGCAGCATGGTTCAAGGTGACAGTCACCCAAAATAATGTAGGCAATATTTATCTAAAAGGTAGATCATTTATTATGCTATAATTCAAGATTTCCTGTGACAGTTAAGCCAACCTGAAAGTTATGCTATCTTTTATCCATATTTGCTTTGTATTTGGTATATTGGGAAGAGCCAAAACTACCTTCCAAAGAACAGGGAGGAAATGCAGAGATATTTTCCCCAAGAGAGAAGTGTATTTTTGTATTAATATTGTATATAACTTCCATTAAAAGCATTTATTACCTCCACAAAATTTAATCCTGATTCTGAGGCCATTGTCTGGAAATTAATAGTAATAGTAATTCTACATGCACCATTTAATGGCAGGGTTTTGGGGAGTCCCCCCCTCCTAAATCCTAGCTGGGATCAGTAGGCACAGAATGCTCACTAGTCTATAAAACAGCTCTTTCCTATTGAATATGTGCTAGTAGTAGCTGGCTTTTACAAGTTGCACTATAATTACCTGAAACCAGAACTGCATACAAATGTACTCTGAAACACTGTCCAATATTTAAACATTGTGCTACCCAATAAATGATCTAATTGCACTTAATTAGCTACTTAGTATAGAACAACATTAGACATTAATGATAAGTGGTCACAGGACTCTGCAGATATCACCATTCTCTAAACTTCAGTTTCTAACTTCATGCCCGGTGAACTGATCGACAGATTTTTTTCCATATCAGCAGTTTTTTCAATCCTGTAAATAAAAGGTTTTTAGGCAAAAAGTTCTAATGTAATACTCCAGCAGTGAAATTTATTTCAGATAAAAAAATAAATTTTCCTAAAATGTCATGGGTCGGGGGAAATACAAAGACTGGTTAATGAGAACAATGCAATAAACCATAATTAAAGTTGGATAAATATGATTTTAGATTTTATACATAAAAATATCAAGAACAATTGCAATCTATTGCCCAAGATAATCTGACTCCTGAAGTCAGATTGGTGTGATGTACAGCCCTGCATACGGTGATGACTTGGGGTGTAGGGCAAGCAAGATTAGACAGCTGTCTGTGCCTTCCCACTCACTCAGCACCTCCACTTTTAATGCTTTCCCTTTTCCTCCTCTAGTCATCTCTGAAATTTCTTTCACCCTCCTAAATTATGCAAACGGTACATTTTCTCTGAAGCCTCCCAGCCTGTATCCCCCACGCCCCTCTTCACCTTCCCCATTGCCTCCCAGAGCGCAGTTGTCATTCTGTCCTCAGTGCTCCCATGAGATTTACCCAACTGCACTTAAACTTTTTCACAGCCTTCTTCACAAATTAGACCATATCCTCTCTAGACTGTGAATTCTTTGAAATGGGATCTAACCTCGCCTGGTCGGTCGGTCGGTCGGTCGGTCTGTCTGTCTCTCTCTCTCTCTCTCTCTCTCTCTCTCTCTCTCTCTCTCTCTCTCTCTCTCTCTGTGTGTGTGTGTGTGTGTGTGTGTATCCCTAGTTTAGTGACTGTTCAGGAAATGAGTGAACCTCAAGTTATTCATGAGATTAAACTAAACCATTTAACCCTATAAATTCTTACCTATTTCACATGTTTCATTGGTTTTCTTTTGTTTGCTGATTTTTTTAGTCACATTCACCATAATATTATTTTATTTCTATCCTTTCTCTAAAAATCCTGACACATCTTACTATATTTATATATATAATCAAATATTTTAAGAACAAAATACCCAAAAAGAAAAGGGATAAAAAATATAACACTGTTTAAAAGCAACAATGGCTTTTAAGAATATTGAACATCATGGAAAAACAATAAAATTATAGATGTAGACCCTTAATTTTATATACTCCTGAGAGATTAAAAGTTTTTTCAAAATCACATTATATCTTCTATACTAAATAGCATTCATGCAGTCAACTTTCTTGCAGCAAACTTTGAAGAAACCAGACTCTTTGGTGACTACAATTTATTAATATCAGATAATGTTTGAATTAGGAGAACATTTATAAGGTTAGAAATCTTGTTAGAGATTTGGGTTATAACGGAATTTGACCTGTAAACTTATCAGGACGTAGATTTATGAAGTTGCTTGAAGTTAGATGAAACCAGGAATAAAATAAAGTTTGTAATCTATTTAATTTTCTCTGTAATAAATCATTGCTTTTTTCACCATGTCTGCTCTAAAGAAATGCCACACTTAATTGTTCTTTTTCCATCTGTTCAGCAATTTCCTGATCAAATTGTAGGATTTGTTCCTAGAAAGCATGTCTCGACTTCATCAGGTGTCTACAGTTATGGAGGTTTTGAACTGCAGACACCAGGGTTTGGAAATGGTGACCAGTATTCTGTGGTGCTGATTGGAGCCTCATTCTTCAACAGCAAATACCTTGAACTCTTTCAGAGGCAACCTGCAGCCGTGCACGCTTTGATAGATGAAACACAAAACTGTGATGATATTGCCATGAACTTCATCATTGCCAAGCACACCGGGAAGCCTTCAGGGATATTTGTGAAACCTATAAACATGGCCAATTTAGAAAAAGAAACCAACGGTGGCCATTCTGGAATGTGGCATCGAGCTGAGCACTTTCTGCAGAGGTCTTATTGTCTCAATAAGCTTGTTAGTATCTATGATGGCATGCCCTTGAAGTACTCCAACATAATGATTTCTCAGTTTGGTTTTCCATATGCCAACCACAAAAGTAAAATGTGAAAGTCAAACAAACTAACTAAAACCTCAAAACTGCTTAGTATTTGAGTAGCTTCTCCATGCTATGGTTGTTTGGTTGGTTTTGTTTTAAGTAACATCATGAACTTTTATCCAATCCAGAAGTCTGTCTCTACAAAGGAAAAAACATATGGGACTTAAAATTCACATAAACTTCAAAAACCAAGAAGCTGGCATTATCCAGGTAGTTCTTGTGAAGAGTCTTCATCCATGAATAGAACTCCTCAGTCAGTGACTTTATTGTTTACATTCTAAGACTGTTCTGCAATTTCTTTGACTTCTGGCATCTGCCTTAAGGACCCATGGCAAGCTGTTTCCAGAGAAGCATTTCTCAGCTTTCATCAAGGGATGATCACTTTCATTTGAAGCTTCTTTAGCAAAAGACTGGTGCAGGGAAAAGCCATGTGAGAAGAGACTAGTCTTACTCCCACATAAAAACAAGCAGAAAATTCATGACTATCAGTGCTTCCCTTGTGGTCCCCCCTACCAGCCCTTTCCAGGACTGAGTCAGCCCAGCATGGTTTGATGCAACCATCCGTGCTTCTATTTTTGTTGATAAGACTGCTGTGACTGGGAGGGTTAATTTTAGTAGCTGAAGGATGTCTAGCTGTTTGCTTGATTTTTGTGAACATTTACAGCATGGATCACACAAAAAGTGCAGCTGATGTTTCTAAATGCAGCTTATATGCAGCAAGGAAGAAATGTTTTACTAGATTCAGGTAGTCCATTTTGTCACTGGATCTGACCTTGAGATTGTACATTAATTCTTATATTTGGCATAAAGTGTGTATTGTTTAAGAAACATGTAAAATAACTCTTCTGAAAGAATGATTCGCAGGAACTGGCAAAAGTTAAAACCCCTAGTTTAGTATCAAAAGATCTACATACATTGTTTGAGCATAGGCTGTCTCATGGATACCAAAGGGTTGTGTGTGTTATATACAAAGTCAGTCTCTTTCAGAAAAGATCTAAGGCACCATTCATCTTGATGAAATTTCTATTACATAGATACAGGAAAAAATAAGAGACTGAGTAATAGGAGAGGGATTCTATAGGGAGTCTGCATAATTGTTATATTGCCTACTCTCTGTTATGTGAATTAGTATCCGTGTCCCACATGGTGTTTGTGTTTGATCTTTGTTCACTGCTGGTAGCTGGCAATACTTAGTCTTCTGTCTTCCACCTTCCACCATTTAGCCTCAGAATCACACAGCTCTGAAAATATAATAATCCTGGTTTATGTTCCAACAATGGGGTCTTTGTAGTTAGTTCAGTATATGTTGTTTCTTTACGTTGGCATGTGTAGGTGTCTTAATGTAGTCAGATAAAACCAGTAGAATGCAGAACCTCGCTAAAAATTATAATGTTAATTATCTGCTTTGTCCACCCTTGGTAGTGATTTTTTGCCTCTTTGGATTCCATTGGCAGATAAATAAACTTTTATCATTCAGATGTTTCGTGTTAATTAAGCGGATTCATGTTTTTGTGGTTGCTAATTTTACAAATTTCGTAATATTTTAGTCTATTGCTCAGGGTAAGGCAGAGGCATTAGCTACATTCCCTGTGGGAAAATATTCCAGTGAAAAAGTAGTCTTAGATTTTATTTCCCATTTTGTGTTCTTAAACTTGTCTTAAGCACCACATAAGTTAATTATATCATGTTTTTCAGACATTATAGAGCAAATATGAAAACAAAGTTAAATACAGTCTACATTACAAAGACTCTTGCATTGTGGCTAGAATTCTACTAAATCTTTTTCCCCATACACCTTTTGCAATTGCTCCGAATGATCCGGAGAAGAGATGATGCTCAGGCTCAAAACCATGGTAGGGACACAATGTAGCATAGGGGTTAAGTGTGCCAGGAGAGTACTTGGGCTCAAACCCTTCCTAGATCTCATATTTATTTAACTTCTCTCTTGGAGCCTCAGTTTCCTCATCTGCCAAAATGAGAATAATATCTGCCTACAGGGTTTTAAGGAATAAAGGAGATAGCTTGTATAAATATAGTACAATGCCTTGCCCATTTTAAATGGTCGATAAATAAAAGCTGTCGGGGTGTGTCATTGATCATAAGTGCAGTTTATTGTACAACTCATCACCCAGGTATTAGAAAGGGCCCTGTCCTCGCCAGGTGAGAGATTTGGAGCAATGTTTCTACATAACAGTGGGCAGAGAACCATAGTGCTTTTCATTTTCTTTATTTCAAATGCCCTTTTCTTAAAACA